GGCAATAGGCGGCGGCGGCGGCACCGGCCCCGCGGAGCAGTGAGCGCCCCTTGCCTGGGGTATGCGGGGGAGTTTAAACGTCCCGCGTTGGACCGGGATTGGCCGGTTCCGCCCACCCAACCCGCTCCTCCTTCCCGCCAGGCACCGCCCCGTCGGGCCGTGACAGCCCCCCTTCTCCCCCGCGGCTGCTCCCGGTGCCCTCCCGCGCCACTCGCTCACGTACGGCCCCGCTTCCCCTTCGCACGGCCTCCGTGTTTCGGGGGAGAAAGATTCAGGGATGAGGAAATAACTGTGCGCGCCGTGCCGCGGCTCTGCCTTTGCCCCCCAGCGAAAGGCTGCCCGGCAGCACAGCTGCTGTGGACAGAACGGGCCAGGCAGGAAGAGCTGTGACCTCACACTCTAATTTAAGCCCCAGCCGCAGGGTACTTTGCACATCACCGACTGCCCCCAGCTTCACGCACAGGACTATTTAAAAAAAAAACAGAGAACCAACTCCCGCGCAAGTCTGGGCAGGGCTGTGTTAAACCGGAAAACCCTTCATAAAGAAAAAAACTTTATTACCTAATCCAAGTACGGACAAATACTTCACTGAAAAAGTGTTGTGAGGCTGGGGGAAAATGTACAAACAAACCAGAAACCAAGCTACAAGCACGCCTGAAAACTTGCTTCAGAAACTGCTTTCGAGATATTTAATAGTCCTGAAAAGAGGCAGAAATGAGCTAAGAACACGTACTCATATTTAAGTGTTTAACGACCGAGTATAACTGTATATACTGAGCACAAGCTGTTAACCGAGCCCTCCACACTTAAAAATCAAGTAGCTACATTTTATCGAAGTACTTTCTATGAATACAAAAATAAACAAGCTATTTACCTACCTCCCAAAAAAACCCAGTAATTCAGCCCTTCTATTTGAAAAAATTGGTGGCTCTTAAAAGAGCCTTTGAGTTAAAACTGACAATCTTAGACTCTCTACTTGGAGCTGGTGTACTTGGTGACAGCCTTGGTGCCCTCAGAGACAGCGTGCTTTGCCAGCTCGCCGGGCAGCAGGAGCCGCACGGCCGTCTGGATCTCCCGCGAGGGGATGGTGGAGCGCTTGTTGTAGTGCGCCAGCCGAGAGGCCTCGCCGGCGATGCGCTCGAAGATGTCGTTGACGAACGAGTTCATGATGCCCATGGCCTTGGACGAGATGCCCGTGTCGGGGTGCACCTGCTTCAGCACCTTGTACACATAGATCGAGTAGCTCTCCTTACGGCTCTTCTTGCGCTTCTTGTCACCTTTCTTTTGCGTCTTGGTGACGGCTTTTTTAGAGCCCTTCTTGGGCGCGGGGGCGGACTTGGCCGGCTCAGGCATAGCGCGAACTCCCAGTTTGCTCTGCAACACCGAAGTGAGAGAGAGTGCGATTGCTCCCTTTTTTATAGGGACCCTATGCAAATCTCTGGCCTCAACTGTCAGCGCTTCTACTGGATAACAGAGCAAGTGACGTCACCTTTCTTATGTAATTGGTCCTTTTTAAAGCCTACGTTACTATTGGTTAATAATGCGAATCCTATCAGCCAATCACAATAAGCTCTTTCAATCACCCGGTTCGGTAGCGAAGCTTGGTCCCTGCGGCCCGGCCTGGCCGCCCCACCAGGCTCACGGCGGAGCGTCTGGGCTCACCCGTCTCCTGCAGCTGCCTGCTCGGGCGGATTTGTACGTGCAAAGTGTAGTTACGGGTAATTTCTCCAGAAAATAAAACTAGATGAAGTTGCCACAGCCGCGGGTTAAATGTAAAAAGGAAAAAATACAACCAGAAAAGATACAGATGTCTGGAATACTAAACTTTGTTAATTATGTTTGAAATTAATTTTTCTGGCCCACAGAACGTGGCTTGTTTTTCAGTACTTTAAATGAGATGGAAGTTCTGATTTAATTTCTAAGTTGAAGGAATGTGGACTTCTTTTGGGATTTAACAAACACTGTGTTAATTTGTTTAAGTCAAACCCAAGATATTCCTAGTAAGAAAAAGAAATTGTACAGTTAAGAATCAGAAATTCTGTCTGTTTGCTTGTTGACTTAATTGTGCAATTAGAAACAACAATTGTGTAAACAGACTAAAATTATTTCTTGGTATTCGGAATTCTGATGTGCTAATATTTTGTATACAACATAAACTTGTTTAATATAATATTAGCCTTTATGTTTAGAAAAAGGGTAATAATTTTTTTCTTATTAAAATGTTGTGTAGCAATGTTATAAATTACAATTATAAATTAATTCATCAATAAAGTAGAACGCTATAATCCACTTTTAAAAGGATTAAGTTAATTTGTGGTTGAATGATGCTAGGACCGGGTAACTTAGTACCCCATAGCCAGTGCTATAATGATGTTACTTCCTTTTGGAATCCTTTAGGGCCATTCAAAGTCTAGACTTTATTGGCATCAGAGGAGACAGATGGCATGGGTCTATACAAGAAACCTACCTGACATAGGTAAATGTAGTTTAAGGTGGGTGAGACTGATAAAATCACAACAAACTAATTTTTCAAGGAGATTTGTAAGGATAGTGAGAAAGATTCTCGATACTGGTTCAAGCAATAAAAAGATCTGTCACCTTACCAGGCTGGTTTTCCTTCTGCTTTTTTTTCTTTTTATCTTGTTGGGCAGAATTCTGGATGCACAAAGATTTCTGGCCTATGTCCAAAATAGTGCTGTCTGAAGAAAGGAAGCCAGGTGAAGGAAGTGTAGGATCTTTCTTCTTCCTTGCAAGTAAGACTTGATTGCAAGTGCTTCTGCTACGTTTAACACCTAAACTGGGGAGACAAAAGCAGCCATCCATGTTGAGGAGAGCAGCTTCATGCTGCCTCTGTGATGCTGCAGCTCTTTGGTTTCATGTCCATTCCATCCCCAGCTCTGCTCCCTCACATCAGGAAAAGGGACAGAGTGGGTGCTCATCCACCTCCATCTGCTCTGCCTCCCCCCCAGCTGCCAGCAGCAGCTCAATCAGCTTGGAGAAAATCTGGTAAGGCAGGAAGGAGGGAGCTGTATCTGCCTTTCAAGGAGAAGAAAAGTAGTTCTCTCTTTTTCAGCAAAGCAAGAAGATAAGCCAGTGGCCCATCTCTAAACATTTAACTCCCCACATATGCTGTGAACCTGATGACTTTCTTTTGGCATAAACATTATCTGAAAAAGCAGTTCACTAAGAACACCTCTGCCTGGTAACAGAAGTTCTCTCTTGAACATCTGTAGAAGTCCACAACTTGACATGTCACTCCTAGACACTGTGGTGTAGAATCTCTAGTTTTGTCTTCACACTAGCAGCCAAAGGCTGTTGCTTTTGTTACACTGCTCTGAAAGAGAAAATGTAGAATAACACAGGGCAATCTCAGTAAAGTCCATAGATCCAGAGAGCAAAGGCATTCAAAACAAAACCAACAAAAATCAAACACAAAAACCCCCGAGCTTCTGCAAACACCCTGAGGCCACGTAAATCCTTTTAAGTCTATTGATCCATTCCATACAAAAGTTATTTAGTTCTAAATAACTTTTGTAAAGATCAGCTATATGGTAGAAAGTCATCCTCCATCGAGGAAAGGTGGCTACTCTGAACTGAAGACCTGCAGCATGTTTTCAGCCTTCCAGCTGAAAAATGCCTTAAAAAAACCCCACAGAACCCAAATCCAACCCAACTAAATAAACAAACAAAAAAAGCAGCAGCTGAATATTAACTGAAGACCAGTCAGTCCTTATGTAGTGTGGTTGTGTGTGCTGCTCCTTCACAAAAAGGTACAACCAGAGTGTGCTAAAGGCAAAAAAACTGGGGAGAGGAGTAGGGAGAGGGTTAGGAGATGTTTATAAAGGGAACTCAAGCCATTGTAAAGAACTGATTGTGGAAACCTTATCAGTAATGGCAGAAGAGTAAGTTTATTCCATTGTTTAGGCAGCATATATGGAAAAGGAATCCAGATATTCATATTTGTCTCAAAAATCTAAAATAACCATATTCACTAAAGGAAATGGATGGGAATCTGATAATGTCTAGTCACTTATCATCTGTCTTATTTCAACAACAATGTAGTTTCCAGTGACTGAACAAGGCTTAGGAGCATCCAAAAGAAATAATTCTTCAAAATAGTGAAATCTAAGTCTGATGGGAGTGAACAGAAAAAAGTCTTCAAGAACTGCTCCAGAACAACTCAAGGATGTCAGAGCTTCAAGGAGGCACAGGCCTATTGTACATTACCAAACAGCATGAACTTTGTGAGTCTGTCTTTTCCCCTGGTTGGTGTATTTCTTCCAGGTGAGTACGTTGTGATACAGGCTGTCAGCTTTCTCCTGTTCAGGTAACTGCTCCAGATGGAAATTTCCAGGAGGCAATGGGAAGACATAAAAGCAAATCTGCTGTTAGTGTTTTGCCACTATAGCTCCTAGGTGAGCACTGCATAGATTTTTCTGGAAAAAAAATAAAATAAAAAAAAAAAAATTTCTTATTCTGAAATCTCCAGTTAGAAATATATTTTTTTCCTCTCTGTGCTTATTGCCTAAATACAGCTTAAAAAAAATTGAATTTATGAATAGCATCTTGGATATTATTATCCCACTTTCTGCAGTCTCTTCAGTCAGAAATGCTGGAGGATTGCTTACCTGATGAGGGAAAGTCAGACACCCGTGTATTATCTTGGGCTTACAGAGTACACCTTGCCAAAGCCAAAGGCTCCTGAAAAACAAACCAACAAAAAACAAGCAGAGACAAAAAGACAGACTTTTAAAAGTAGTAGTATAAATGTTGCAGATTTAGATTTTTTTTCTGAACATTATTTCATTTTAGTTTGGTGTATCCCTCTGTGTGGAATATAAAGAAAAGAACCAAGGAGAAGTCCCAAGAGAAGTTGCAGAACAACTAGACCATCAACAGGAAGACATTCAGCACATACTATTTGGGGTTATTAGAAATATATTGATAAGGCACAGCTGCCTAACAGCTGTGATTACCTCGGGAAATTTCTAAAATGCATGATGCACCTTAGAATCACATTTGAGAAGTCTGGTTTTAGGGTTATGGGTAGCTAGTGTAGATCTCTTACATTTTGAGATTGAAATATTAAACATAATTGTATTATATGCGGCATACTTTGAGATCTATTGCTGCAAGTTTTCTAGCTTTGTAAATTGCAGAGTGTCCTTAAAATCTGAAGGCCTTACAACTACTTAGAGAAACAGTAAGTATATGGGTCACATTTCTAAAGCATAAAATAACTGTGCTGAAAAAAACACATGATGAAAGGAAAGGGTGAAGGGGGGAGATGAAGATACCATGCATTTTCTGAAATAAGTGATGTCTGGAAACTTGAGATTTCTAAAAATAATTAAGAGGAGGCAACTCATTAAAATGATATTTTCTTCCCTCCAAGTGCAGATGTAGACTACAGTTTATAAAAAGAATATGTTTTATATCCAAAATTATGTGAAAAAAAAACCCCCAGCAAAAGAAGTACTTTGAGACATTGAAAGACCATGAAAATGAACAAACATGCCACATTTTTAAAAACATCTGAAGCAACCTAAGACTTTTTCCAGGGGTACATTTAAAAGATACACAAAGAGCACCTCAGTTTCATAAACACAAAAAAGCTGCGATGTCATGCAGTTCAGAGACCTGGGAAATATAACTTACACCCCTACGAAAAAAAAAATGTAGCCTGCACAGGATCCCCCCAAAAATACCCCCCCCCAATGGATTAATAACTTTATTGAGCATTCGTTATAAAACACGGGGTTTACTTGAGCACAGAGACCATCACGCGCCCCCGGATGCCTCCGGCCGGGCCCTTTGT